CCATACTACTCTTGAAATAATAAAGAAATAATATCCGAAAATACCTAGCTTGGCTAGAGTTCCAGTATACTTAAACTTTCTATGTTCTGGCTCGTAATGGAGTTCTGACTTAGTCTAGAGTCCTTGGACTTAGCTGTTCTAGAGTTCTGTCTAGAGTTCTTGTCATTAGCTTATCTTTCTAGAGTTCTCCATCTAGAGTTCTTTCTTTTCTTATAAGAGGATAGTTATCTAGGCCCCATACTTGAACTGAATTTAGCACTTGCAAAACTTAAACTGAGTCAGGTGACTTACCTCGGAGTCGGCGCGGATGAGCGTGGCGTGGTCATGCTTTTCTAAACTTTGAAAGTATACCGAAACGCAAATCTGCGCTCTGATACCACCTTCTGTCACACCCCGCCTTACTACTAGCTTTGAAAATCAGAGTAAATTTTTTTTTTTTTCGAAAGAACGTGCGAGCTGGGTTTTCGAAAATACTGACTTATTGCGGGATGTGGCAGATAAAAACTTAAACTGAAACTTGGGCTTGCCCACAGACATAATAAAACATGCAACCAAACTGTCCGCTCGCGGATTATGGAATTATACATGCATAGTTTGTACTGTCTCGCACTGTCTAGGAAACTCGCTGGCGGAAGCATCCGAAATACAACATGCGTACATAAACTGAATAAATACACATGATCATAAATCTAGGACATAAAAATGCTGGTAAAATATGTCCGACTCTCATGACCACGCTGCGCCACATCTGTGCTCATCCGGCACGCTCGACTCCGCCTCTTGAAAAACACAATGGGGGCGTGAGCAAACCACTATGCTCCGCAAAGACCAGTACTGAACAAAACATCATCTATAATAACGTATCATGAAACATAAATATATAAGAGCTGAAACTGTAAACTGATCTCTGATGTCTGTTCTGATCTGTGGTCAAAAGACCCTCGGCCGTAGCCGCTCGTGTGCACACGCCGATGGGGTAGAAAGGGCCTCGCCCCTCCCAACGGTCATCAGGTGGGTATAAAGGCCTCGGCCACCCAACCCGGAACTAAACTGTCTCAAACATACCTCTGCCATGGTACAGATATTATCTATGATGTGACATCCAGTACATGACCCCCACCTGAAAAACTTGAAATCTGGTATGCAAGTGCGGAAGCTGGAGTAGCGGTCGGAGGCTCGACTCTCCTTAGGCTACATAAATATTTAAGCAAAATAATGCTAAGTATAATGCTCAGAATATTTAATTATATGCTAAAATGCTCGGACTTATCTACGCGATTAAACTGGACTGGACTGGCTCGGAAAAATACTGAAATTTCCGGAACTGGACTCGGATCAGAAATCACGAGTAAAAACTGACTCGAACCGCCGGTCGAACCGGCCGGTTCGCTGGCTGGCCGGACCGCCGGCTCGACTGGGCCGGGCGGTCGGGCTGGGTTCGGCTAGACCGGGCTCGGTCCCGTGCCGGGCCAGCTGGTGCCCGGGCACGGCGCTGGGCACGGCTGGTGCGACCGGGCTCGGTCCCTGGGGCCGCTGGACATGTCTTGGCGCGGACTGGCGCTGGTGGGCACGGCCAGGGGCTGCTGGCACGGCCCGGGCACGACTGGTGCCCCTCGGGTGCGTGCTGGGCACGGCCGAGGCTCGACTGAGGCGCTGTCGTGCGGCTGGGCACGGACAGGCACTGGCCAGACGCGGCTGGCACGGGGAAGGCGCGGACAGAGGCCCCTAGGGCGCTGCCGGGCCGTCCCGAGGACACTGGGCACTCGGGCATGCTGCTGGGACATGCACCGAGACCGACTGGCTCAGCTGACCCGGCTTGGATCAGCCCTGGACCTGGCACGAGGCTCTGGCACGAGACCTCGTGCGCTGGGCTTGGCACGGACGCTGCCGGGCGTCCCTGGGCACGCGGGTGTGCTGCTGGGCACATCCCGGGCCAACTGCGTGCTCGGGCGTGGCACTGGCACGACCCGAGGTCGGCTACGCATGACACGCGAGGCCATGCGTGCACTGAGGCTGGGACAGCGCGGCCAGGCGCTGTCGGGGTTGCTTGGGCGCGACGGGCGCCACGACCCCGGGTACGACGCGGACAGGCACTGCGGGCGCGCTGTCGCGGACACTGGTGCCTCGCGCACGCTGGCGCGGGCACGGACTGGCACTGGGCCGGGCACTGGCGCGCTATGTGCGCGGGCAGTGACCAAGGCCGGCCCTTGCCGGACCTCCGGCGACTATTTCCGGCAACATGCATATCATATGATCTCAACATGATAAAATAAGCACAATTAACATATAAATCACTAGTGGACCCCGGGTCCACTTGCATGTTCACTCGGTAGGGCTTATCTGGCCCGTACGAGCACTTGACGTCCGAACCAACATACATAACTTGAAAAACTACTCAGGGCCGAATGTTATACATGAAAATTCATGACTATAGAGGCTAAAACATGTGGCACATCTTGCATGCAATGAACTAGGGTTCGGGTGCCCATTTTAACATATTTTCGAGCATGATTTGACCAAGGCAATGAACTCATTTTATTCTCAAATTTTTACAGCATCAATGGTATGATATTTGAGGGTGTTTAAACAAGAAGTCTCGACTTAGGCATGCTTGCTACTAAATTTTCATTTTTAAGGTCATTTATTTTAAAAATTCATAACTCATAAACAAATGCATGCATGGCTTGGTTTTTCTTCATGAAAAATCTTAAAACATCACAAAATACTTAATGAAGTTATAAGGCCCGGACTTACCTTGGCTAAAAATGAAAAACGAGCACTAAGGCTCTCTAGGGCTTTGCTCACGGCTATTGAGCTCAATGCCGACTTGGAGCTGACTTTGGCCGAGCTTGGTGCTTCCACAAGACTTAGAAAAATCTAAGTAACACTTAGATATGGCTAAGCCTCGTGAGAAGTTGGCTGCAAGTGGCTGAGGTGCGGTGTTCCCCCTTCCCGGGCTCGCGCGCGCTCGCGGTGGTGCGGTTGGCCTTCTCTTTGGCCTATCTCACTTTCCTCTCCAATTATGCCGAGGTATACAAGTCTTAGAATGTTACGAGATGCAAGAACTATCACCAACTGGGATGGGAGGGCTTAAATAGGCTGATGGGGCGGAATTCACTAGGTGGGAGTGGGGGACATGGTCTTTTAAAGGTGCATGGGTGGAGGTGGCCTTGGGACATGAGTGCTGCATGCCTTGCACGGTTTTTGGGACACTTTAATAGAATTATAATGGGTCACAAGGAGTCTGGACAGAATGGAGCATGCATGGGGGACAAACTCTTACAAGGGTGAATAAAATATTCAAAGACCCATGCTCCACTTTGGTCTAAACTTGTGTTGACTTAGGCTAACCTTGATTAGGGCCAATTTAGCTTAACATAACCCTTAATAAGTCCCTAACATTCGCCACTAATGGTACATGAAAGAAGTGGGCCGGACCTCCTCCATTTGGGCTCAAAATGGTGGGCTGGCAGTGCTGCCGCTGGGCTGCTGGGGCGCGGCACTGGGCCTGGGCGCGAGGGGCTGCTGGGCTGCGCGGGGACGTGCTGGGCTGGCGCGGGTAGCGGGCTGCGCGCGGGAAAAAGGGCTGCTCGCGTGTGGTGGTCTTGGGCCGAGTCCTAAGGCACTCCAAGGGTCCAAGAACACTTAGAATTATTTCCAAACTTTTGCCAAGGCTTTGGCACGACTTGGACAATGCTTGGAGGCCTTGGGCGCGGCTCGAGGCGCGATGGCGCGGCACGGGCGCGGGGGCTCGGGTAGGCTATTAGGGCTCGGTTTAAATGCTTCCCAAGGACCTTCCAACACTTAGAAAAATATTCTAAGTATTAAAATACCATTCTCGGCTATGACTTAGGAAAATATACTCGGACCAAAAACTATGATTCGGATCTGGTAAATTCTCGAAATGGCTAAATCTCACTTACCAGTCCAAATAAGTGGATTTATCTTGACTTATACTTGACTTAGAAAAATTCCAAAGAGTGATCTATCAAACTTGGAATTAATTTAGCATTTGGCATATAAAATATAACTCAAAATTTCTGAAAATTACGGATTTCACTTATAGTCGAGCAGTGAAACCGTTCTTAATATTATTTCTGAACTGGGGCGCTACATTATGTCAAGGATATTAAATTATTATATAGATCCGTTTTTAATTTTATATTGCGTAATATCTTGACCGAAGTTGTTAACATTAATTGTGGAATATGGTGATAAAGTGCAACGTGTTGTTTTATAGAGTGCGATGTGTTATTTTATAAAGTCCAACATTTAACTACATAAAGTGCAGTAATTTATACCTTTACCAGATAATTTATGTGTATTCGAAAAATAGTTTTAATGGATATAATCGTACATCGAATTAACCTAAATAATTAAAATATCATTTTATTATCAATTTTATTATATAATTATATATTATTATACATTATTTTTCTATTATTTTAATATTTATATTATTTTTATTTAATATTTATTTATTGTTTAATATATATGCATAACAATATATATAAAATTAATTTTTTATTTACTTCCAATATATATACAGATTTGACCCAGGGGATAAATTGAAATATAATTAAAATTATTAAAATTGCAAACAAGTCCCTAAACATAATCTAATTCTGAAACAAGATGCTCAATCACACAGTCAGTTTCAGAGTTTCAATCTGCCCCGTATAAACACCTCTCGCATCAGAGAGGGCGTTGTTCGATCTGCAAGAGGCGGCAGAGGTCGACTAATGGACGGTCGAACTGAGTGTGTGAGGGTGGATGACAACGATGGTGTCGCGATGAAGCCTCGCCCGTCACGATGAGGTGTGGTAGGCAACAAGGCTGCGGCGGGACTGCGGCAAGCGGTGGACTGGAAGCGATCGGCGTGGTTGGTGGGAGACGATGGTTCTCTATGTGTGTGTGTGTGTGTGTGTGTGTGTGTTGCGAGTGAGTACGTATGGTTGTGCGACGGAGGAACACCATTGTCTGGGGGTTGTGCGGCGGCAATGGGTGGTTGCCGGCCGTCGAAGATGAGGATGCCGGCCGATTGTGTATTTGTGTATGTAACTTTGTGTGTATGTGTGCGTCGGAGGAACACCGACGTCTGGTGGCTGTGCGGCGGCGATGGGCGGTTCACCGGTAGGAGGTCGGAGATGAGGATGTCGGTCGATTGTGCATTTGTGTATGTAACTGTGTGTGTATGTGTGTCAACGTGTGAGTCATGGTGTGTGTGTATGTGTGTGAGAGAGAGAGAATATGTGGGGTAGGTGTGGGTTGGAAGGTTGACCGAGGTGTGGGTTCAGAGGAATTTATCGTGTATTTTTTTATATATATATTTTTTTTGTGATTTATGTAATTTCTTTGTCTCTTGAATGAAAAAGACAAGAAAAAGATGAAGAAAATGACCCCTATTTTGCTGTTGAAGGAAAGGATCATGATATCTTTGTATATATTGGATTTTCAGTACAATTCTCCCACAAAATCAGAAGATGGGAAAATAAAGAAGCAGGTGCAAATGAAGGCACCGCCTTCATCCTTCAAGTTCAGATAAGAAAATAATAATAACGCCCCCTCAGACTTATCTCGATGATGTCCATCATCTTGGTATTTATATATATGTTTAATGGGCCCGATATTATCACAAGCGGTATTATTTTTGGGCCCTAAATTAAAATAATTGATTTAATATATATCCACGTGTAATATCTTAATAGGCGAGGCCAAAATTTGGTATCAACAATAGGCCCCCGACTTTAGGGTATGTTTTGAATAGAACTGTTCTGAAGTCGTGTGTATAATCAATTTTGGTCGGGATAAATGACGTATCGATGTTGGCCCGGTAATTTGAGACCCATGGAGCCAATGACGTGGATAGTAAATTTTCTTGGAATTTTGAATGGGGCCTGGGCCTGGATGGCCTAGTCGGGCAATTTGGTACCTGTCTTTCGCGTTTTTTGCGTGTGGTAGTAATGATGTGGGCACTCGGGCCTTCGGAATTATTACCGAATTCACGATTTTATTGAGACAGTGAGACTTTTTGTTTGTGATTGTTTTCTTTGTAATATGGACCTGGTCGGATAATTTGGTATCCGGTCTTTGGTCTTTTACTTTTTATGTAATTATTTATTGGTCGGGTGATGTGTTCCCGATCTTTAATGTATTATGTAGGGCATTTGCCTTGCCAAACCAACTTCCGGGTTTGGAAAAGATTTATTTTTCATTATTTTTTCATTTTTTCTATCAAGCTGAAAACTCGGTGTAAAATTTTAATTTTTCCCAGCCGGAAAGATCTTATTGACTTTGCCTAACCAGTGTGGGTTTTTATTTTTATTTTTTCCAGCCGGAAAGGTCTTATTGACTTTGCCTAAACAGTGTGGGTCCTTAAGGAATTTAATGGTCCCCGCTGATAAGGTCTTACAGTGCGCCTCACCAGCGTGGGGTCCTTAAGGATTATTTTGCTTGACTTTTTATGTTTATGTCAAGATGCAAGTATGACGCGCGTAAGAATGTATGAATATATGATGAGTACGTGCAATAAATGACTAATGCACGAAAAATGATGGTACCTCGATATTTTATCGAGTCTGACTTTGTCTGTCGGTAGGTGTTGTGCCTTACTGGAATATTGTATATGAAGGAACGTTGGTATTTTTTGTTTCCGACTAAAATATTCAGCATTTTATTTTCCTCGCTGAATTTTTAAAGGAACGTCGGCATTTTTTGTTTCCGACTAAAATATTCAGCATTTTATTTTCCTCGCTGAATTTTTAAAAGAACGTCGGCATTTTTCGTTTCCGACTAAAATATTCAACATTTTATTTTCCTCGCTGAGTTTTTAAAGGAACGTCGGCATTTTTCGTTTCCGACTGGCATTAGCCTCACCAAATCATCTTCAGGACTTGGATTGTTGGGCTTTTACAGCGCCCACTTTACTTTTCGAGATTCGGCTTTTTTACAGTGCCGACTTATATTTCGAGAGTCGGTTAGCCGAATTATTTTTCGAGATTCGGCTTTTTGATTGTGCCGACGTCGGTTTAGCCGAATTATTTTTCAAGATTCGGCTTTTTTACTGTGCCGACGTCGGTTAGCCGAATTATATTTATTTATAATTTTTCCCAGCCGGAAATGTCTTATTGACTTTGCCTCACCAGTGTGGGCTCAGCCGGAGCAGAGGCTCAACGGCGAGGTAAATATAGAAGCCCTCTCAGTCGGAACAAGAGCTCCACGATGAGGTAATATATGCGTCAACTCAGCCGGAGTCGAGGCTCAACGGCGAGAAAATGTACATGACAGCTCTGCCGGAGTCGAGGCTCAACGACGAGAAAATGTAGATATCAGCTCTGCTGGAGTCGAGGCTCAACGGCGAGAAAATGTAGATATCAGCTCTACCGGAGTCGAGGCTCTACGGCGAGCAAAATGTAGATATCCGCTCTGCCGGAGTCGTGGCTCACGCCGAGTAATAATAGGAGTCAGCTCAGCCGGAGTCGTGGCTCACGGCGAGCAATAATAGGACGTCGGCTCAGCCGGAGTCGTGGCTCACGTCGAGCAATAATAGGATGTCGGCTCAGCCGGAGTCATGGCTCACGGCGAGCAATAATATGGACGTCTCCAATAGATGACTTCGATGCTGGCGTAAATAAATAAATTCGGCCCAAACATTGATAAATGTGATCAGCCCCGATATTGATAAATGAGGTCGAAGGCGATCGAATGATAAATTAGTGACGTCAGCTTCACGTCTGAGGTCAACATCGAGCAAAATTTGAGGCTTTAGTTGCAGCTCAAGTGTTGGTCAAAGATGGCGAGATCCGCCAGAAAGAGCGAGATTGGTCGAATATGGTTGTCTCACCAACATGCCGTATAAATATGTAGAAAAATATTTCAGCCCTCATCGACTTATGTGCTGGCACCTTTCAGTTGTAATATTTCATCCCACTCTTCTCATTTTGCTTTAGCCCATTTGGATATAATTTTCTAGCCCAATAGTCTCAGCCCATTTTATTCATCCGCCTTCCATTCTTAAGATTAAAAGGAATTGGGGCTGTGACACACAAATTCATCGAAATCTGAAAGGGTGGGCTGCCAAGAACAATCATTAACGATGGTGCCGGAGAGATCGGGATCCAGGGACGACGATGAGATCGGTTTCTGACATTGCAGAACCTTAGTTGGCCTTGGTTGTGAGTTCGCGGCTAAGTAAATCAGAAGTCGGCCGTGCTTATAATCGGACTTGGTAGGGATAATCGGAAGTCTGGACCCGATGATGAAGTCGGTTCGGCCTCAGATGAAGTTGGCCGTAAAGTCACCGACCTCGAATGGCTTTTGAAGTCGGTGAAAAGAACTGTCCGAGATTCTCATTATAGATGATGAAGTCAGAACTTGGCGACTGTTTTGAGGCTCCTTAGCAGATGATGAGGTCGGTTGGTGTTACTGAGGTGGGCCCAGTTTTGAGATCAGGCTTGACGTTAGTCTGCTGTAATTAAGTCGGTAACTGTCGGTTCAGAGATTCGAGCCTGGGCCCGATCTGTTTGGAGTGGTCTCGCGAAGTCGATCCGACGGTGATGTCGGGCCCCAGCGATTAAGGTCGGTGATGCCGACGATTGAGGTCAGCTGGTTTCGAGCATTGTTGTCGAGGATGTCGGGATCACGACACAGGTAAAGTTAGCGATTTTAGAGGTCAGTCGCCGAGCTTGTGCCGACAATTGATAGAGGTCGGTTCCGACAGTGGAAGGCCGGGAACTGAAGATGTGAAGTCAGTTTTTTGAGGTGCCGATTTTGGCCCGGTATTGAAGTCGGGCTCGGTCTGTTGCGAGGTCGTTTCTGACCGTCAATAAGGTCTGGCTCGGTATTAAGGAGGTCGGGCCCGATTTGAGGTCGATTGGTGCCGACGATTGAGGTCGGTAACGGCTGTTGCCTTTTTTTGAAAAATCCGAAATTAATTCGGAGAAGTCGGCCTGATTTACGGTCGGTAGTCTCGAGATCACCCCCGTCGGTTTTAGATCGGCCACAGAGATGAGAAGTCGGCCTTACTGTAAGAAGCTTGTCTCCTGCGATAGAAATCGGGTTTCGAGGTGTTTCGGGGCATTTTGAGGTCGGCCATGTTGTGATTTGAGGTCGGCCCTGACGAAGTCGGTTTCTGTCAAAACTCGAGACTTCCGATAAGAATAAAGGTGAAGTGGGCCCAATGATATTAGGCCGCAACAACGTGTTTTACTGTGGCAGCGTCAACGTGTATTATTTGTTGAACGTCTACTATCAGTGAGGCCACCGGCCATTTGCAAGTGGTGATACCAATCTCTTTGATTGGGACTTCCTTTTCTTCTTCTCTCTCTCTCTCTCTCTCTCTCTTTTTGTTGTGATAAGAGTAAAAACAGGTGGACGTAGCTTCCTCGTGTTCAAAGAAAATCATTATTCTCTCTCAGCCGCTGCAACTCTCATCTATTCTTTCTCTCCTTTATTTTTGTTGTTGTTTTTTGTATGAAATAAAACGAATACAGAGCTTTTTCTGAGGAGGCCAGTTTTTCTGGAATGTATTTGATCTCGAACAGAGGAGATTCACCAGAAAAATGCGGAATACATGAGATTTGAAATAATAAATGATGGCGTATGTGACATTAAGCCGGAGAATTACCTCGAATCAATTACGAGGCCCTCCTTCTAGCACCAAACTGTTGATGCTCGAATTTTGATCAACATGGGGGGTTCAGAGGAATTTATCGTGTATTTATCAATATATATTTTTTGGTGATTTTTTGATGAATTTGTATGTAATTTCTTTGTCTCTTGAATGAAAAAGACAAGAAAAAGATGAAGAAAATGACCCCTATTTTGCTGTTGAAAGAAAGGATAATGATATCTGTTGTAGCAAAATATATTTTTACCGAGCACTGAGTCGAAAGATTCGTTCCCCGGGTCGATCTCTCGAGGAAGGCGGTTCGGAATCTAGGGATGGTGTTGATAACACATAATAGAAAAATAAATCCTAAACACTCTAATCAAGATAGTGGTTTTTAATTATCAACTACGAAAGAGAATTCAAACAATGCAAAATCGAACTTAAAAGCAAAGATGAAGATCAAAGGATAAGAAGCTAAGGAGTCGGGGATGATGATTTTCTAACCAATGCAAATATGAAGCTAAGATCATTCGGTTAAATGATTCGAGCAACCTAACGTCTGGAGATAGTCCTCAATAACTCTTCGTAACAAGAGGATAACATAGACGGTAAATCGAACAAATCACACGACACATAGACAATACGTTTCCGAACAAGTCTATTTCACGAGCCTAGATCGACCAACTCCACCCCTTTCGGTTCTAAGGGTTGATTAAATTATCCTAGACGATTGTTAATCTACTAGTTCGATGGATTTAAATACATCACACAAGAACGAATCATATTCAATTGGAGATCAATTGCAAATCAAAGTGTCACTCTTCGACAATAATCAACATTCAATGCACGAGAATTATAAACCCTACTTAAGCACAACTCATATAAATTGAACGAACAACAAGCATGATAATCACAATTAAATTCTAAACATCATCATCATCCCCTATCCCTAGAGAATGAATTAGTTACTCATATAGAATTCAACACAATTCATCTCAAGAACCCAAGCATTCATATTCAAGGATTAATTGAAAAGGAAAACTTACGATTAACAGAGAACCAAGAGTCGAATCCAATGAACAATCCAAATCTAAAACAAGAGAAGGAGTTTTTCAATCTCCAAATCCAATCAAAAGAGAAAAAGTAATGAACGGAATGAGTTTCTAGAGAGAAAAAGTCTAAACACAAAGTCTGGAGTCGAATAATCAACCCTAGGACCGAAATCTGATGTTAAAATCCCGTCCTCAAAATTCGCGCCGATAAAGTCGCGAGTCGCGACATCCATGACACCTCGAGTCGCGAGTCGCGCGTCGTCATTTTCTTTATATTCTGGGGCTGGTCGCGACCATAGTCGCGAGTCGCGACTGGATGTCGCGAGTCGCGACTCGTGCTAGCGTACTGCACATTCAGGCTCTGTTTTTCTCGCGAGTCGCGACTTTGGACTGCACTGCATAATTTTACATTTCGGGCTCGTTTGGGCTGGTCCGAACTCGGAATTGAGTTCTGTTTTTTGCTATGCGTCACCAACGAACCCCTATATTAGAATATGCGCTCAAAACAAACTTTTGCTGAAGAGAAGATTCACCCGAAGCTCCCGACCTTCACACCAAAAACGACAAAACACGAAGAAAACCGGGAAAACAAATGAAATAACACCTAAAGACTCAAAATCAAGAAAAACACATAATAAAATACGAAACGGACTAAAAACTAAAGAAAAGACCTAACACGACAAACAACTCCCCCACACTAAAGCCTTTGTTCGTCCCGAACAAAAAGAAGAGAAAAGAAAAGAAACGATAAAAACCCAAAACCGAGCATGGTCAACTGTCATTAAAAAGATAGCCTCAACATGTTCAACTTCGACAATGAGCATTCAAATGGCATATACGAGCATCACACAACTACATGCTTGATCACTATACCTCAACATGGCGTTCTCTCAGGCTGGGAATATATATGTGTGCCTCACTCGAATTCTTATACAGATAAAGATAGGTACACTCAAATTGTTCGATAACAAGTTCAATTATATGCTTGCCCATTGTCTAATTTCTACTCTAAACCAATCAAAATCGAAACTAGTGCATCAAAAGGTCTTTCAAGGTTGTAATGTAGGCTCTTTGGTTAGGTAGGATAAATATAGGCTAAGTGGCTCGAATTCATTACATAACTCAAACACCTTACCCCAGAATCGTACACTCAACCAGTTGCACAAACATACCGGATCTTTCCCCACACTTCTCATAAAACCACACGTTTCACCCATCTTATTTTATTTTTTTCTTCTTTTTTTTTTCTTTTTTTTTTGTGTAAACCTTATTGGACATTTTATAATCCATTTGGCTACATTTTTTTCTTTTTTTTTTTCTTTTTTTTAGAAACATAGGAATAACTCCAACAAACAACTCCAACCATCATCCCCTCCAATTCTTAACCCGCAACTCCAACAACGTCATCATCACAAGGTTATCAACAAAAATCAAATAAGGCTCGAAAAGGGGAGACTAGGGAATAATTTGTAGAGGAAGCAAAGGATAGAATACAATAAATGCCTTAATCATATACACAGTTCACAATTCTAATCAATTTATTTCAATGCAGACTCAGGGCAAGTGCTAATCAAACAAGAGCACGACCAATGTATCTCAAGAAACAAATAAGGCTCAAACCTCACTAGGTAGATATATGAATGCCAATAAAAAATTGACCAAGCATTTCATCATTCTATGCCGCATATGACCAACATCACAACTTGTCGAATTCATCAAACAAGTCTTAACTGATCTTGAATTTTCTAAAGTCCATGCTCCAAAACACACAAAACCTACATTAGACCGGTCCACCACATAAGCATGCAAAAACTCAAGTAAACTCCCCCACACTTAAAATGAGGCAATGTCCCCATTGCTTCAACACATATCCAGGAAGTAAAAAAAAACAAGACTTTAGCAATTTTATATCATGAACCAATACTAGCAGCTAACATAAGACCACAAAATCAAAATAGAAGACACGGGAAATAAGCAACTCAAAAAGATAAAAAGAGAAAAGGTGTGCAAACCGAAGTAACGTCGAGAGGAATAAGCATTCACGTGCAAGCCTTTCGCCGATGCTCAACCCAGTCCTCAATATGTCCTGCCACGAAAAACAACAAAACTCCAAACTCCAATTATTAAAAGATAAAACAAAAAAACAAAACATATACGAAAGTATCTAGGAAAACAATAAATAACACTTGGGTTGCCTCCCAAAAAGCACTTGTTTAGCGTCATTAGTTTGACGAAACCTGTGAAGAACTCAGCCGGGATCCAAAAAGAAGTGTCGATCATGCCACACCTTCGTATTCTCTAGCAATGGTAGCATGGGCAGTGTGGCAAGAAAGCCGACACGGTGGATTCGGGTGGCTGTGTTCTTGAAGAAGCAAGTGTGGGCACGAACAATTGCCAAGTACTGACGAAGAGCTTTATTCATCAACTCTCTATAGTCAACCTTGGGAAATATGAAAATATTCGTAAGGCATGTCGAGTTATATCCTTCTTTATTAGTAGCACAGGGTTGTGGCTCGGAATGTGAACTCTCGAACTCGATCGTGGAAGGGGAATCTTGAGAAATGTAAATTCAGGGACATCTCGATCAGGCTCAAGAATCTCCTCCACCAAAGTGTCACTCTCGATATGTGGAGCCACAACTTCTTCGACGTCAAGCTCGCTCATACGCATCGACTTACATGTTCGGGCACCATGCATAG